AGAACAGTTTCAATCCAAATTGTTTCCTAAATCATTTCGCAAGTTAGGAGTGTTTTTTGATAATAATAACTGCTTGCGTATATCAGGTCGTTTGTCATATTCGTCATTGTCATATCAAACCAAACACCCCTTTTTACTTCCTAGAGACTCTCGTCTTACTCGTTTGTTAATTCGATATTACCATGAAAAATATTTGCACGCAGGATTCAAATCTACGCAATTCTTGATTAGTCAAAGGTTTTGGATTCTATCAGCTAAGAGAGCTGTCAATTCAGTTGTATCCAAATGCATCCGTTGCTGAAAACAAGCTCTCAAAGCCTTACAACCCCCCATGGGTAACTTGCCTCAGTTTCGTCTGTCCGCCATTAAACCTTTTTCGATTTGCGGATTAGATTTTTTGGGTCCTTTTTATATTACCATGACTCGTCACAGAGGAGTTCGTTCTCAGAAGGCCTACTTGTGTCTTTTTGTGTGTTGTGCAACGAAGGCTCTGCATTTGGAACTTGCAAGTAATTTGTCGGCAGATGCGTTCCTGGCAGCGTTGCAAAGATTTATTGCTCGACGGGCCGTAGTGTCCCAGATCTTGTGTGATAATGGAACGAATTTTGTCGGGGCCTATAATCAATTGCGTAATTTTATGAAAGAGGCTTCGGAAAAGGAACAAATTAAATTTTCATTTGCGCCTCCGGCCGCGCCCCATTTTGGTGGTCTTTATGAGCGCGGAATTCGTTCGATGAAGAATCATCTAGCTCGTGTGGTTGGAAATCAAATTCTTACTTATGAAGAGTTTTACACCACGTTAACATTAGTTGAATCCGTTTTAAATTCGCGACCTTTAACACCTTTAACTAGTGACGTTGAAGACTTGAACGCTCTAACGCCCGGACATTTTTTAACTCTGGAACCTTTATCCTCATTACCCATACCTGATTTTTTCGGATGTCCCTCTCAACCGTTTGTCGAGATGGCAATTATTGCAGCGCATGCATCAGGACTTTTGGAGCCGCTGGCACAAGGAGTACTTACATACTCTGCAGCAGCGTTCCAAATGGTGGGATCCTCTTGTTGCACCCGCAATCGGTTCGTTAGTTTTGTTAAAAGAGGATAATTTGTCGCCGTGCATGTGGGCGCTTGGCCGTTTGATTCAGTTACACCCGAGTAAAGATGGAGTATCTAGAGTCGCTACTGTTCGGACTGCCCGTGGCGTTTTGAAGCGGCCATTGGTCAAATTGTGTCCTCTTCCTTTGGACGAGGAATAGATAATAATTCTTTTTTTTATTTTTATTTAACTTGTTAGTTTGTAAGTTCAATTTTGCAGAGTTAGTATTACGTTTTGTTTTGTTCGGGCTCATGGATGAAATTGCGCCCAACGAAACCACTATTTCATATATAGTTTGCTTTGAAAATTTAAAGACTTTTGGTCTTTAAAAAGGGGGGAGAATGTTTCGGTAATCATTCATTGGTAGACGAGCCAGGTCGAGCTTTAATTGGTTCATGTCCTTTTCCCTGGTTCCCTTTTCCCTCGTTACATGTGGCAACGATGTTATTCGGCATTCGGCATAAACATGGATTGGCTTCAAGAGGGAAGCAAGAGACAGTTGGTTGAACGAAGACATGCGACCACGTTGGTGACCACGTGCAGAAGTTATCGTGAAAAGTTTCGTTTCGTGATATGTTTGCCGGCCAAAATATCTTGTAAGTACCTATTTTTCGTTTTCCTATATTTTTGCTACCATTTATAGCTCGATTGGATATTATCAAAAAGACCTACGGAATTTACACCCATTTTTAAATCTCCTCCGCTTGTAGCTATCGAAGGAAAAAATTTTTGCTATGAAAAAAAAATTTACATATGAGTTTAAAGGCTGAATTTATTTTCTTTTAGACAATTACTTTTCATATTCATACACCGGAGAAGTGGAGGACATCGTTTATCACGACAATACATAAGAAGGGAAGTAAAGATGTATGTGACAATTATCGAGGAATAGCAGTCCTAAGCACCATCTCGAGAGTTTACGGGAAACTCATCAAAAAGAGAATGGAAGATGAATTCTGTGATATGGAGGGCAAAGAACGGCTTTAGAACAGGCAGATCAACTATTGACCATCTGTTTACTGTTACCTAGCTAATAAAAAAAGTAGCACGAAATCAACATATACATTTCTCTATTACATCCCGAGAAAACAAATATTAGTGAAACCTTAATCAAGGCTGTTCAAGGCCTGTACAAGAACAACTCAAGTAGAGAAAGGTCAGGAGGTATGCAAGGGTTTAACTATCAGCAAAAGACTCAAACAATGATGCTGCGTGTCTCCTACTTTGTTTAAGATCTACTCGGACCAAGCGACGTAGACGTGGAAAAGATAATGCAAACACATGGAAATTCCTCTAAACGACGCAATATTTTACACATTGAGTTTTGAAGACGGCCAGATAGTGATGGCCCAACACTATGAAGACCTCGAATATGACCCGTAAACTTATCGAAGAATACGAACTATGGGACCAAGGACTAAATATCAAGAAAACTGAATACATGTGTATTGGGGGAATTCAAGAATATCTAATCTTGGAAGAAATACGGCCAGAAATAAATCACTGTCAAAAATACAAATATTTAGGCATGCAAATAACCAACAATGGCAAATTAGAAGAAGAACTTAAACATAAAAATAACCAAAAAAGACAAGCCATTAGGTAATTAAACAGTGTACTGTGGAACAAAACAATCTCCAAAGAAAACAAAAACAAATTCTATATCAGCATTATACAAAGCATTGCTACATATGGAAGTGAAGTATGGTCACTGAAAAGAAAAAACTTAAAAGCGGTAGAAGCAACAGAAATGAACTTCTGGAGAAGAGCAGCTGAAAAATCAAGGTTAGACAGAGTTAGAAACGAAAGAATACGAGAAATTATGGGTGTTAAGCACAATATAACAGAGGCCATCAAAATAAATCAACACAATGAAGATGGTATGGACACGTCCAAAGAATGGATGGACACAGAATACCAAAGAAAGTATTGAATTGGATACCGCATGGAAGAAGAAAGCAAGGTAGATCAAGATTAAGTTGAAGAGAAGGAATCGATAAAGACTTAAGGGAGAGAGGAGTTGAAGAAAATCTTTGGAACGACCGAGATAAATGAAGACTGGAAACCAGAAGACGGCGTAGAACGTTATAAACTGATTGGTTGATTGATCGGTCAGATGACAAAAAATGACATAATTGTGATCGGTTAAAAAAACCAATGCCTGTATTGGTTGGATTGGATTAAAAAATGTCTGGATCAACAGAAAAATATTATTATGAGAAAGCATTCGATACTATCAAATATGACAAACTCAGAGAACTATTACATGATACATCTTACAGGACTTGACACTAAGGACATCCAGATTATAAAAAATCTATATTGCAATCAAACAACCCACATGAAGAATGGACATATGGTGAGTGAAAACGTAACCATTTCGAGAAGGCCTAGACAGGGCTGTATTCTTTAGTCACTGCTTTCCAACCTGTACACGGAACAAATATTTCTAGAGGCACTGGAAGAGTACAACGTAGGTATCAAGATTAATGGCGTACCAATAAGTAATTTTCGATATGCAGATGATACTGTTATATTGGTCGATAACATCGAAGATTTACAGATGATGCTATATAGAGTAAATACAACTGGCAACCGATTTGGACTGAAGATCAATAGAAAGAAAACTAAATTTATGGTGATCAGTAAAAAGAACATTCAACATATCGACCTGAATATTGAAGCCGAACATATTGAAAAAGTACACCGATTGAAATATCTGGGATATATATAGTAAATATGACTGTTAAACATCTAAAAATGTCTTAACTCAGACATATAGTAAGGGAAAGTCGATATAAAATATTACAACTGATCCTTAAAGGCAAAATAGAGGGCCGTAGAGGTGTAGGAAGAAAACAAGTTTTTTGGTTAAAAAACATTCGTAAATGGACACAGATACCAAATGCAGGACAATTATTCCATATTGCAGAAGATCGAGAAGCCTTCGCAATTGTGTTCGCCAACGACGGACAATTCTGATATGGCACGGGAAGAAGAAGAATACAGTAAATGATAAGTGGGATCCAGACGTAGAGATTAAGATACGAATTGAAATAGCAAGATCCAAATTCATCAAAATGAGAATGCTCTTAAACAACCGTAATCTAAGCGTTAACCTCCGCCACGAAATGCTACGTACTCTCTACGCTACTCTACGGAGTAGAAGGGTGGACGTTAACAGCAGCAACTATAAAGAAGTTAGCGGCTCTAGAAATGTGGCTGTATCAACGCATACTGAGAATACCTTGGACAGACAGAGTGACGAACACAGAGGTATTAAGACAAATGGGTAAAGAGGTGGAATTGTTAACAACTGTTAAAAGGAGGAAACCGTTATACCTGGGCCATGTGTTCCGTTATAATAAGTACAGTCTGCTACAGCTTATCGTGGAAGGCAAGATTGAAGGTAGAAGAGGTTTGGGAAGAAAGAAGAAATTCTGGCTGAGAAACTTGAGAGAATGGTTTAAAATACCAAATGCTGCGAACATAATACATGCGGTACAAAACAGAGAAACCTATCGTTTAATGGTCGCCAACCTTCGGTAGAAGACGGCACATAAAGAAGAAGAAGGTTAAAAAACTCTAGCGAGGTACCCTGTGAGGCAGAAGACATCGAAGAAGATATCGTCTTGACAAGATCGGTTAAGTTCTTTGTGTGCTTTTACTGTAATTTAAACTAATAAATAACTTTCTCATTATATTTTGTAATTAGTTGTTTATCTTACTCAATATAGTAATCTAGGTCTCATTAATTTTTATTTATTACTGTTAAATATTTTACCTAATCCTCGTATATCAACAATGAATGCAATGTACTTCGATAATTAGTCTAATTGAAAATTTTTAAATATTATAATAGTGTTTCTCTAGCTTATATTGTTATCACTATCGGATGGAACCGACGTACTACGTAGGCAGTTGACAGTATATGAACTTTAAATTAACGTTAGTAATATAGCAATTTGTGTAAATTAACAATATCTAGTTTAACTCTGTAACATGCAACCGATATTTGAAATTTAAAGTAAGCCTATATTTAGTCGAGCGTTAATAAAAAATATATTCAATCTTTATTTATGATTTTATAGCGTAATAAAATAGTGAGTAGTATTTTTAAAAATGAACAGTGTTTTGATATTTTTTACTTATATACCTCTGATAGTGTCACAAAGTTGTAGAGAATATGGTATGACGGTAAGTTTTTATTTTATAATTTTGCGAATAAAATTTTTCGAATTATTAAATCACTTAATTCTATTAAACTTTAGATTTATTTAATTTGTTTTTGTGTGCCATATTGTAGCGGGTTGTTTCCTTATTCCATAGTCCCATCTTAAATTTGAACATCTTCTTGGTCTCTTGACGCCTCTTGGATACCACAGTATAATTTTAGTGGACCATATATTGTCAGTTCTTCACGCTAAATGCCCGCTCACTGTCATTTTAAAGATTTAATTTTGTGAATTATTATATCAGTTATATATTATACAGACCTTGGGTTTCTGTTTGATCCATTCTATTCTTTTTCGACCTCTCTTTGTTATACCTAGCATGCATCGCTCCATTGACCTTTGAACCTTTGAGTGACTTTAAGTTTCGCTATTATCTCTTTCTTTACTGTCCAAGTTTCGCCGCCGTATATCATGATTGGTAGTATACACTCATCAAATACTTTTTTCTTCAGGTGAAGTGGCATCTTCGATTTGAATATAATTGCATTTCTACCAAAAGAATGCCCAAGCCAGTTTAATTCTCCTGTTGATTTCTAGAAGAAAGGAGCCAGATTTATGTATTAATTGTCACAGGTATACTCGTCTATTGTCTCAAGTGCAGTGTTATTTATTATTAAATCTTGCACATCCACTATCTTGTACATGGTTTTGTTTTGTGTCAAGTTTATTTCTAGGCCAACTTCATTGCTAGCTGCATTTAAGTTTTGATATCCCCTTTGCTACCTTTCTTATAAATAAGAATTCTGTTTGCTGTATTCCATCGGTCTAATATGCAACTTGATCTTAAACAGTTCGTAAATATGCCTTCTAAGATTTTGTAGGTTTTTTTGCCAGTGTATTCAAGCAGTTCCACTATTATGCCATCTACCAGCTGCTTTACCTCTTTTCATTTTTGTAATTGTCGATTCAACTTCTTCCGGAATGATTTCTGGTACATTTTCTTGGTTACTGATTTCTTTTTCAAGTGTTTCAGTGGCTTTGTATACAGTTCGCTGTAAAATTTAGTCATGAATTGTATTATTTAATTTCTCTCTGTAAGTCTGGTGTTTTCGTTTGTTAGAGTAACGATTTTGCTTCTTCCCAATGATTAATGCTTTATATTTTCTTATGTTTTCCTTAACATTTTTTCATATTCTCTTACAAAGTTCTGTGTATCGTATTCTCCGTATGTTGCTATTTATCTCCATTTCTCTTCTTTGTTTTAGCATTATTTTGGTTTATTAGACAGTTTTTTATGTTCATTTTGTTGTTGCATGCCTCTGATTTCTTTGGCACTATCAATGATGATTTCTATTACTTGAGAGTTGTAGATTTGGTCATGTAATCTTTTATTATTTTTCCTTTGATAGTGATTTAAGTTTTCGTTTAAATTGTTAAAATTTACACCGGTTACTGTTGGATTTTGTGATAAATTTTATTTTTTTCTAGTTTTAGATCTAGAACTTTTTTGCTCTGATTAGACTATGGCCACTGCCTGTTTGAAATTTATTTATGACAATAACATCTTTTATTATAGCAATATTGTTGGTTATCTTGAAGGCAATTTCGTTGTTAGTGGTTCCATTTTCATCTTTCCGTCTAACTTCGCTTAGTCCTATGACCTATTTTCCTATTTCTTATTCCCATTTTTATAATTTCAGTTTCTTTTTCAAGTTTAAGAAGTATGGATTGATTTGATAGCGAGCGGGCAGTTATATGTCGGTGTATACAGTGTTGATGATTTATTTGAGTAGCGGTTTAGACTCTGCAGCTGCATTTAGGTCGCTTATAAGTTCTTGTCGTCCTGCAGGATTATTAGTAATCAGAACGATGTCGTCCGCAAATAATAGATGACTGCGGTTATTCTACATCAATAGATAGGCTTTAGTTATGCTAGTTCATTTTGCTGAATATATGTTTTAGAGTTGCAGTGAAGACCTTCGTGATATTGCGTCTCCTTGTTGGACGCCTCTAGTAGTGGGAAATTCTAGGGTTTTTTTAGCTTGAAGTCAAATCCAGTGGTTGGGTAGCGGTTTAGACTCTGCAGATTCTTGACCACTTCTGCCATCCTGACTTGATTCCGAAAACTAAACAGTTCAGGGCCATTTGGATCTTGGGTCACTTTCAAAAGCCGATTTACTACAAATATAATGAAGAGGTTTATAAGTAAACGCCTTCAATGTTGGATTACTACACTTACAAAACAATTTTGTAGTTTTTCAGATAATCTAGAAACTGTAATGTTACTCAACATATAAAGCAAATTAATATATTAATAAAAAACATATTTAACTACAAAGCCCTAAAATCTATCAATTTAATTGCCCGGTGAATTTAAATTTTACCGTCGGCTTCATTAGGTTTTCTTGTGGCGACAACCAAAAGACAGCATCTTGATTGTATAGAAAATAGGAGGAACCGCACATGTGTTTATTCTATTTCTCAGTGGCTGCTCGTACCTTCATTAAGAATTGTTGAAAAGAAATTGGTAAAAAAATATACGGGATTCGTGGAATAATTTGTTCGAAGAGAGGTGGTAATGGCGAAATATATTAGACTATTTGTTGAACTCGAATTAAGGGGTTTGTTGTTTGTTGTTTTTTATTTATTGTATAAGATGAAAGAGAGATAAATATGGCTGAAATTATCGATGGCAGTTCGTTTATTAAGGTCTAATGGATGTTTAAGAATACGACACATTGTTAGGAGGGATACATTGTCGTATGATAATTTTGTTGTTTGGCCAGTATTTTGACGTTTGTGAAGTCGATTTCATGTTTCGTTGAGATGTCATGTTGTGCTACGGCACAAGAGGGTTTGGAAATAATGTCACTGTTATGAGAAGTTAGACGATTTGAAGGAAGAGGCTGGTCTAGCCAATGTAGCAGGAGTTACAGTCTGCATAGGGTATGTAATAGACAACATTAGTATGTTTTAAAGGGGTCAATGAAGGTTTGGTCTTCAAAATAAGTCACAATTTACAATTTTTTTTATCATAATATGAAAACATTTGTGAATCATTTTAAATTCATTTTCTTCTTGAAAACATGTAATTTTGGTCGCAATATTTCATAACTATTGCGACCAAAAAATTAATATACTATAACTACACACAACCATTACTTAATTGTCTATTTTGCTAAATAAAAAAACTGTTTAACATCACACGGACTTTTACTTCATGTCTTCTACTTCACGACTTTTACTTCATGTTTACTTCGTCTTCAACGAATGCTACATAATGATATTATATATAGCGTGGGTATCATAGCTCTTGCTGCTTCCCGAACTTTAATTTTAAAAATCGTCATTCTTTCTGTTTTCTTTCATTTCTCGAATTCTTTATACTTATAAAAGGGGCATCATTATTATATCTCAGAAGAACCAAAGCTTAAAAATATATTCAACTGTATATTATTCTATATAATTAAATATCTTAAGGATGTATAAGGATTTACATCATCAAATGTAATAATTTTTTTAGTTTATAAATTTATTTAAGTTTATCTGTACACAAAACTTATAATACATTGTAATCAACACTCGCTAATAATATTTCATGGTTGATGTGGTTTTTTATAAAAAAGCCAAGGATTGTAGCTTGGAATAGATGTTTCTTCGTACTAAATAAATATTTATAAGTCGGCTGATCAGTATAAAATTAAAAAAGAACGTAGGAATCAAACTTGTGGTATTATATCGGAGATAAACTTGGAGTATTACAAAGAAGAGTGGAGATCAACTATAAGGTGAAAGTGAGATTGTAAGAAATGTCTACTTGGATGTTGGATGAACAAATGGAATAGCGTATAAGAAGTAAAAAGAAGTGGTCATGATTAAGCCATTATTTATGAAGTTTTACGTACACAAATCCAATTAATGGTAGGTATGCTATTCTGTCCGTCAATGGTATTTTTTACTTTTGAGCGTTCTATAATTTCCTCGTTTTCACTATGGTCCAATTGCGAAATTCTGCAAAACCTTTTTAGAAACTCAATTTCTAGCGTTTTAAGTCTATCTTTATTTTTTTTATTTTATTTGCCAATATTTTACGCCATAGGTTCTGATGGGTGAATATCCTTGTATTCTTGGATTACAAGGAATTTAACTGTTATATGGCTACTCATCCTTGAATAATTCTGTTACTTATATCGTATAATCTAATTTTCAAGTGTAATATCTTCAATAGGTCTATCAACTACAAGATGCTCCGTTTTTTGTATCATTCATCATTTTACATTATTACCTGGTTATCTACCTACAAGTAAGATATACAGTAGGGATGGCGGTTTTTGACAAACACCGGTTTCGGTTATACCGGTTTTTTTTGCTTACGGTTTAACCTGACGGTTATAACCGGCCAGAAAAAACCGGTTTTTCCAAAAACCGGTTTTTCGGTTTTTTTAATCAAATAGATTAAAAACTTACATTTACAATGCACTTTAGTTTGCGATACTTCATTCGACTCGATATCAATATTATCAAAATTAGTACTATCGAAAGAACATCAATATCAATATAAATAAGACACAATTTTTAATAAAACCATTTTATTCTATTAATTATTATATTTGTTTATTATTCTAATATTATTGTATATTTATTGATTATTATTAAATATAATATTATACTACTGCTCAACAGAGAGCGCTGAAATAATTCAGGTTCTATTGTCATTGAAATATATTATGAGAGTAGAATATAATATGCAATTATCGTATTCAATTATTGATGCAAATTTAATTTACCATTTAAAAATATAATCCTTTAAAATATCCACCAATTTTCCTCTCCCAAACTCAAAAAATTCCTCAACCATTCCAATTTATAAAAAATTTCCCAGACTCTTTCGAATGGGATTTAAAAAAATAATATCACCACAAATATTTTACTTAAAAATAAATTGGATAATGCAATTCATCTTTTATTTTTACTACCATCAAAAAAAAATTTATCATGTATTACTTTTAACACGTTTGTATA